TTACATTTGGCTTACAGTTTCCCCTTGTTTTCAGTCTTTGTGCTAAGATAAGCTAACAGGTTGCTAAATGTAGCTTCATATCAATCTTCTCATTGAATTCTCGGTAAGAAAGCAGCAAATACATTTCTCTAAATATTGAACTACTGCTTTACCATCATAGTTCTCTATTTGGGTCAATAAAGAAGAATATGCTTGTTGTTCCTGCAGGTGTGCTGAGTGCCAGAAGACTTTCCAGTACCCGAGCCAACTTCAGAACCACATGATGAAACACAAAGACATCCGACCGTATATCTGCAGCGAGTGTGGGATGGAGTTCATCCAGTCACACCACCTGAAACAGCACACTCTCACCCACAAAGTAGGTTTAATTAGGAAGAACAAAAGAAAAGACAAAGGATTTTACATTTTTTGACAGGTTGAAAGCATGGATAGATTTTGGGCATCATCGTTTTGAAGGAGACATTTTTCACACCACATCTTTCACATTTTCTTGTTCTATAGGGGGTGAAGGAGCACAAGTGCCGCATCTGTGGTCGGGAGTTCACCCTGTTGGCAAACATGAAGCGCCACGTCCTCATCCACACCAACATTCGGGCATACCAGTGCCACATGTGCTTCAAAAGTTTTGTCCAAAAACAGACTCTCAAGGCTCACATGATCGTCCACTCGGACATCAAGCCCTATAAATGCAAGGTTGGTTGTAACTAACTCATCAGATGAGATCTTTGCGTTGTGTTTTGACCTTTCACTTCCTCTTTGTTTTACAGCCAATTCTGCTTTCGCTCAATCAGGAAAGGAATAGTTACTTGGATCACACACAGTTAGCTTAGCTTGGCTTAGCTTAGCTTTGAGACTGGAGACAGGAGGTATAACAGCTAGCTTAGAATTGTCCAAAGGTAACAAAATAATCTTACCAGCCCCTTTTGAGGTCACTAAATAAGATTTGATTACATTTATTGATTCTTTTAAAAAAATGTCAGTAAAAATCATACATTGTGGTTTTACATGGAGTTATCCGGCAGACATAGTACCTTTAGACACAGCCAGGCTAGCTGTTTCCTCCTGTTTCCAGTCTTTGTGCTAAACTAAGCTATAAGCAGCTGTTGACTTTAGCATCATATTTAATAGGACACATAGACTGTGTAAAACAATTAGACGTAGTTTTCCTGATGTCAACAATTCGTTTTGTGGACTGCCTTTTTTAAGTTCCTGGAGTTTGGCGTTTTGGTCGTCGCCATCTTTGGTTTTTGCGACCAGAAAGACCCAAGAGTGTGGAGCTAAATACAACCACTGAATGAGAAATGTTTAGGGAACCAAAAAGGTTACGTTCGACTTTTCCTAATTGAAAATAATATTTTAAAGGGTTATTGTTAAACTATTCCTTCAGTATTTACTCCTTTTTGGTTAAAGACATGAATCACTTTTTGTTAACTAAATTAACCAATAATCCTTGCCCTTTTATATTTAGTGGTAGCTGCTATTAAAGGTTTTTTTTACAGTGGAGAGGCAGTTTTGACCTTGGTGTTTGGTGCGAGGACTGAGACGATGACCAGATAGCTGAGCTTTTGGCAGTAGGAGCCTCTTCGTCCATAGGAAGGATATCGCCGCACGAACTGCCTCTCTAACAATGGTCCCCCAGCCTCCCTGGAGAACAAGGCCCTCAAATAGATTTCATCTCGCTTTCTCTGCTGCTGGAGGGAGCTTCCTGTTTTCTCACGGTCCTCTTGGACAGTTTACAGTCCCTCTCTCCTCCTGAAGGAAAGGACCACCCTAATAAAAAAGAATGCAGAGGAAGGACAGCACAGGAGTTGCCCTTCCCTGTTCTCCTCCTGGCCCTGTCTCGATGTTGCTTCCTCTCTCTTTCTGTTTTTTCTTGTGTGAGTGTGTATGTGTCAGGGAGTGAGAGAGAGGGGGGGTAGACAAAGAGGGAAGGAGGAAAACAAGGATAGGAGGAAGGAGAAAGGGTGTGTGTCTATGTATATCTGAATGCATACACATTCATTCATGATTACGTGTTGCTCTACAACTCCACCATCTGCGATAATTAGTTATCTAACAAAGGAGATTTGGCAGAAAGAAAAATAATAGTTGGTTTGCCTATTGTTTTTGCATCCTTGAATAGTGTTTACAACAGCCAATCGGGGAAAGTAATCAAGTTATTTGCTTGCATGCTATTTTAAGCTGCATGTTTTTCACTTGTTTGTAACCTCATCTTTAATTCTACAATATTTACGAGGGAAAATTGTACTGTTTACCCACTCAACTTCATTTATCTGCCAGCCAGAGTTAAATAGTTACTGGTAGAGAAATAAAAACATATAATCAACCTCAATACAGTTTGAGGATTTCTTCTTGACTAAACTGCTAACATTATTTAAAGTAGTTGAAAGGAAGGAAAAGTTTGACATTCTAGAAATGGTGTTAATTATGTTTCTGGACGGGGTTTAGATGAAAATTATTCTACTTACACATGGATTAGGTGAAGCTTTTATTTTTTTACAACTGTGAGTGAGTCAGCCGTGTGAAATGTATAGATTTCTTACTCGTGGCAACTTACCTGGCTATGCGCTTCTCTCTCTTTGTCTTTCAGCTTTGTGGAAAGGAGTTCAACAGGATGCACAACCTAATGGGCCACATGCATCTCCACTCAGACAGCAAACCCTTCAAATGCCTTTACTGCCCGAGCAAGTTCACGCTTAAGGGAAACCTCACTAGACACATGAAGGTCAAACACGGCGTCATGGACAGAGGGCTAGATGAAAGATGTAAGCATGCACATACTGTAGATGTTACATACATGTTTTGTTGCCAAAGTTGTTTGATGTAATGACTTACATTCTCTGACTTCAGTGTTTCGGCAAAGAGGGCGATTCTGCGTGTCCACTCCCATGGGCCTCCTCACTCGCTTCAGCCAAGAGGAGCCGTTTGATCTTTCCAAGAAACCCCCAGGCCTCCCCAGCCTCCACCTCTCCCAATCTGATGGCGAGAGCGTGCCTGGGAGCTCGTGTCAGGAGGAAGATGAGGAGAGTTTGTACAGAAGGAGCCAGTACAGTCCTGATGTGGACAGACATGAGCAGGCAGGCAGCGACCGGTACATCCCTGAGCTGGAGGAGAGAGGGCAGGGATCTCCAGCTGAACTGAGGCCAGGGGAGAAGCATGAAGAAACGTATCAGCATAGTTCAGATGGACAGACATATGAGAAGGATTCAGCAACAGAAGAAAAGGAACAGGTGCAGCTTTTACAGTCAGAGGAGACGTCTGAGATGGCCTATGAGTCTGATGTAAGTGACCAGGAGTACCACAACGAGACAGGCTGCACACAGTTGTATGACTATGACTCTGACTCAGAAATAGAGAATGATCTAGGTAGCTCTACAGAGCTAGATGAGGCAGAGCAAGGTAAACAGCAGAATGCCATCGATGCAGCAGAGAGCAGGTCGCAGGCAGGTGAAATAGTGCATCGCTTGCGCACAAGGATGTTCATGGAAGTTACGGGTCCACGAGAGGAAGAAGAAAACAATGTATGAGAAATATGAGCTGAAGAATGGTGATGCTTTTTAGGGGAGGTTGATGTTATTTTGATCAGAAGGTAGAAGAAAAGTGTGTACAGTAAATCTGTAAATGAAATTGATTATAAAGATGTCTAGCTTAGCACCAAAAAAGGAAAGAAGAACATATCATGTGAATTAACTGAACAAAACATAACAATGAAGAAACTGAAATACAAAGCTGTGAAGCATAATATGTACAGAACATGCCATAGACAGACAGAAGGTTGATGTGCATTTATGATTGAATATTATGTTTAGGGAATGGCATTTTTTTGTTTTTGTTTTTATCATTACGATATTGACTCAAGTATTACATTTTGCTTTAACTTTGATTCTCTTTTAAGTGTGTCAATCGATGATCTTAAATAAAAAAATATGTCATTGCTCAAACCATATTTTGAAATGATTTAATTATTTTTGTCTCTTTGTTTGTAAGATATATGTTTTTATGGATTTAGATACGACTAAGCTTGAGTTTCTTGGATATTTGAGTATCTTTATGAAATAAACTGTGATTTATGTTGTTGTTTAATGTCTAATGTTTAGATTATTTGATATCGGTTTGCCTCTCTTAGTTCTGTCTTGTGGGTGTAGCTTTGTTTTTATGGCAGTGTATTTCTGTTCACCTGAATGTGATTCTTTGAAATAAATGCAAAAATAAAAGCTTGAATACACAATTCTTTGTAATTATCCTGATGTTTGTGTTTGCAGACACTTTATAAACACCCATATAAGTGTTTTTAAAGAATATAAGCACCCAAATCCCAATTCTCTCCGTCTGGCACGTACTTCAGCAAGCCAGAGATGATTGCTGTGTGTTTCAAAAAGCTTGCCTTTCTCCTCCTGCTTCTCTTTCAAAGCAAAGGAAGGGGAAGAGAAAACACCTCTCCCCTTCTCTCTTTTAGGTTTTGATCAAACAGCAGTGACGGACACAGTGGGTGTCCCAGACAAAGGCTTCATATGTCTGTATGACTGAGAATAAAGCATTGTTTCCGCTCATTGCAGGAGCCTCACAAAAAATAAGAAAAACTCTTGGGAAAAAAAGGTTTTAGTAGGATAATATACATTAACATTCAGTGCATTCTGTGGGATATCTTACATTTATCTCATATATTATAAAGTTATCTAGTAAAGGGTTATTTAAAATATAATTTACTGGGTTTCAATGTAACATTAAGCTCACTTAGATGTAGTCACACATTGTACCTCACTCTGAGGTGCCAGTTCAGGTAAACACAAGTCATTTCTTGTCAGATGAAATGCAGAACAGCAGCTTCTCTATTTCTACCAGTGACCACCACCATGTTCAAAAAGGTGAAACTGCAAACAGTTTGAGGAAGTTCTCACATCCTCCTCTCCTTTCCTTTCCTCACCTACACGTTTCAATCCCTACAACGGAGAGAGGATTTACTGTTTGTCTCTTAGATAGAGCTTCTTTCAGTAGCATCATACTGAGTAATCTCTGAGGAACAACATTTATGGCTGACCACACTTCAGAGACTTCATGAAAGACGATGTTTCATATGGTAACTCTATCCTTCATGTGAGTTTAATGAACTGAAACTTGAGCGATCATGAGAATGCAAAGATTACCCAGAACAGGTCGATAGTGATGTGATGGGAAAATGAGTAGTGTGGTATGAGACGATTCATTGTTCTGCTTTGGAAACTTATACCCTCAATTTATATGAATATAATGTTATCTAGTACTTTCCTACAGCAGATAACTCGAATGTTCAGGCCGCACATTTCAGAGTTTAGTTGAGTAGAAGTACATTATGTATAAAAGTCTTATCAGTAAACATATTAATTCATTAAATGTAAATATTAATACATTTGATTATTAGATTGGTATTCAAAATGCATCAATTGCTAAGCAGTTGGCTGAGGTTGAGTTAGTCTTGAAGTTTTTTTAAATACTTTGGTATTTTAACCCCAGTGAAACTCAGTCCAGGGGCCGGGACACAGGATAAATCTGAGAGGTCATGAGAGGACTAATGAAAAAAGGACCCTAACCTTTGTCTTTTTGGTGAAATATTGAATGATGTGTAAATGTATCAAGTAATATGGGCTGGCAAAAAATACAAGAAATACTTAAGTAGAGTACAAGCAACATTAATTACTTTCATGTACTCAAGTAAATGTATCAAGTTATTTTCCCGTGCTTCCAAAAACATTCTTGCTTGTTTTCTGTATGTTTTAAAACATTCTTCAACTGATCTGTTCAGTCCTTTATCAAACTAAATTACCAAATATTTGCTGTAACCAGCTCATCATTTTAGAGTATTTGCTGTTTTCCGTGATTAATACACTGTATATGGAGTTACTTTATGTTTTAGACTTTGTATGGCAAAACTAAGCATCTTTCACATTATTGCATGTCTTATTTACCAACTAATTCAAAGATAAACATCAAATGAATTCCCTTTTAGACATAAATGTGATATTTTGTAATGTTGCGAAGCTATGACTGTGAAATTAAAAGGATAGGAGATAATGTTTGTAACTGATATATACTGAAAACAAAAACTTCTGAATTCTTTATATCCCTGAATCATATCCATAAACAAACGTCACTTTAAATGAAGTGAATAGTATGGTAAGAGGTTTATGATGACTCTTTTGATGGAAATTGACTACACCCTTTGAATCGGCTAAAACGATTGCAAACAACGAGGACACAGCAGTGAAAAAACACTCGTAAAAATAGTCAGTTTATTCCTCAAAAGATATTTGTATCCCCACCTGTGTGTCTGGAAATGTTTCCTGTGAGTTCTCTATAGTGCAGCTCAGGGAAGAGCTTCCTGTTTTGATGGTGAATGAGAGAACGAGATGGTGCTAAAATTCTTCCACGTTTTGTTTAACAAAACTGTCCCGCCCCAGTATCAACCTGTCACCTCCTTTGACCCACAGCCAAGACAGCTTACTGTAATAATAGCTGAGGGCTGTCCTTCTTAAAAACAATAACAGTGAAATAGAGGTGAGAGGACAAATGTGTTGTGCTGTACATGTACTAATAAATACACAGTTAAAGTCAGTTATCCAATAGTGTGTTACTATTCCAGGGGTTGTATGATTGTATGGTTGTTTTTCCTTTTAAATAAATAAATCTGATGTCCTATCAAACATAAGGAAGCATCCAAAATGTATAAGTAACAAACACTTTTACTTTGTACGGTTTTATTTGCAGGTCCACTGGGCAGAGTGAAACTGCTCCCTCTCTACTTCAGTGGATCTAACTCCTCTCCTCTTTATGTAAACAGCGCCCTCTTTTGTCACAACATGGGTACTTCTTAAGTGTTCTGCATTTTTTTCAAATTAATACATTTTTAATTTCAAGAGATTCCCCCAATATTTTAATTTGAGAGCACATCCCTGCAACAGAGTCTCTATTATTCCCCGAAGCCAACGACTTTATGGGTGATCTACTGAGGATGACATTTTTTCTAAAAACGAATACAAATTAACGTTGTTATTGTACTCCATTATCTAAATACCTTTGTTATAATTACAATATGTATTGATCGAGAAAAATATTTAAAAACAATAGGCTATTACCCTTTTGTTAGCACTTTTGGTACAACCCTCTTGTGTCGTCCCCGGTCGTCCCCCATCCCGGGTTAAGTGGTGGTTTCGTCCAAAGATGGCAGCCTCCGTGTGGAAGCGATGTGTGACTGCGGCTGTCAAAGTTAAATGTTTATCCCCGTCTTTTTCAGGTAAACTGATCTAATATAAAGCCATGGATACAATCACAGTTTACATTATCGCATTGGTTTGTTTATCTGTTACACCTTTGTTGTTTACTTTTCATTATTTTGATGTTTTGGAGCTAAATGTCCCCAGTTGATGTTGCAAGCTAACTGTAGCTAACGTTACATGAACCTGCTAAACAGCACACGTGTGTTAATGTTTTGTAATTGTTAACGAGCTTATAAATGTGTAGTGTTTGTATCTATATGACCTGACTGACCGTGTGTCTTCGCAGCCAGGAGATGGTTGCTCTCAGCAGCTTACACAGACACCAAAGTGTGGGAGGCCAGGGAGAAAGAGCCTCTCAACCTGGGTAAGAGATACAACTGATACTAATATATTCACATACTATATTCAATGAACAGTCCAGCCAATAATAACTCAAGTCTGCTAACGTGGGTCAGGATTTGTGGGAATTTTGTAGGGAAGACATATTGTCACAGTGATCTGTGTGCAGATTATCAATATTCAACAGTTTAACCCTGAACGTGGCTCAACAGTCAGCACAATATAGCAGGAATAACATCTGTTGTAGCGTTTGGAGATGCAAACACTTCCCCCCCCCCCCCCCCCTTTAAATAGAACAAGAATCACATCACACATGGCATATTTTAGTCTCTTTCTCAGACATTTTGCAATCAGGGCCCTGATTGTATATTATGTAGTTTTCTCTGTGAAGCATAATAATAATAATACCTTGATTCTTATTGCACCTTTCAAAAGTAGTTATCAACCAAATAAATACATTCTAAAACTATCATCATTAAAGGACAATACCCACCCCAGGCCACATCCTGTCCACTGTGCTGTGGTCTCGACAGAGATACAGAATGATCTGCTTTCGTACCTTCAGGCTACAAATCAGCTTCTTTCCTCAAGCAGAAAGACTGCTAAACTCATTCTTTACACTCCACCATTCCATTAAAAAAAAAAGAAGCTAAATAGGACATAACTGCATTGTGTTGTACAATAACAATACATCGAGCCTCAAACCTACTGACTAAAATGCACTAAGTATCAAAAGCTGTTGAGTGCCAAGAGTTGACTTTGAGTGCCTTGTCTAATTCTTAGTTGTATTTTCTTTTTTCGATTAAAAATATTCCTGACTTGAATTATAATTTGGTCAAATATATTTTGGATTTGTGAAACTTAACTATTATAATAACATCTGTATTGACACCTAGCCCTATCATCATCAATAGATTTCATGTCAAAAGAACGAGGACATTGTTTTATTGCTGCATGTAGGACATCAACATCTTGTTGTCTGTGCACTTGGTCACCACATGAGGGCAGTGTAATGCTACAGCCTCATGTTGCATGGTAATTGTTCAATAGTTAAAACAAAATTAGATTGTCGGCCATGGCTTTATTAAATTAAAATCAATACATGTTTTTTTTTTTATTGTTTAAATAGGTAGTATTAACTGGCTCAAATGTGCTACTGTACATGAACTGTTTTAAAGTCCTGTGTTTCTGTTTTTATAACTTACAGCTCTACTTGCCAACAATATGGACAGGACATACGACAGAAATCTTCCAGTTAGCTCTCTGACTGTGTCTCGGGTAAGATTTAGATCCTCTCTATTTAATTGTTTGTCCTGCCACTGATCACTATAAATAAACAAATATTTGTGAATCTGATAACAGTAGATACAACATCTTTTAACACACATTTGAATTTTCTGTTTCAGTTTGTTGACACTATTTCATCTCAAGAGGAAGTGAACCAAGCAGAGTACTACCTTTACAAGTAAGAAGGATCATGTTTACTCTTTCTGCATCAGTTTCTGTGTCAGATTCCTGCTGCTTAGTTGGTTTTGTGTGTTTTTCTTGGAATGAGTTGTCTGTTTTCAGTTTATGTTTTGTCACATGCTTTTCTTTGTTCGGGGCAACGCCAGACTTTTCCTGTTAACTCCTTCCTCTGGAATCTGCACCCAGTCCTGTGATAATAAGATTTAGTAAATTCCCCAATCACACCCTTGTTCACAGCATATTCATTTTAATAATCAGGTACGAATCAAATAACCACCTTTTGCATTTAGGAAAACTAGAAAATAGTTATTTTCATCAATGGATTCTACTGTCCCACATGTGTTTCGGACTCTTGTTTTTTGGTTATAAACTCTGACATTTCTTTGAGTGTTCAGTTTGCTCTTTGCAAACCAAGCAACCAAAATAATGTCTTGTGAAATTCAAATATGATCACATTTAATCTCTACTCTTCTTCACATCTTCCCAAAAAATATGTCTTGCCTGTTATTAGAGCCAAAGTTTAATGGATATATATAAAAACGTTATGTGTTGTCATTTTTTCCCCAGGTTTCGTCACAGTCCAAACTGTTGGTACCTGAGAGACTGGACCATTCACAGTTGGATAAGGCAGTGTCTAAAATACGGAGTCAGAGAGAAGGCCCTGCACACACTTAAAAACAAGGTAAACAACACGTTATCATCCCTCAATTAAATCAACTCACAATTCTCTTTGTTCAATGCAAAAGGGATCCATCTTTTTAGTAATAAAGGAAATGGGGTCTGACAGCTGCAGTTATCAGACAGTCAGAGCAATCACAGATCCTAACTTGACCACCCAGATGCACTTTCAAACTGTTTGACATTTCAGCCCAGCATGTGTACTGTTCATTAGTGAGTTGTAGACTCAGGGAATCACTGAATTTTCCAAAGTAGTGTTTTGGAGCGAGGTAGAACAGAGTGTGCTCGGACAGTAGAGCCTCTGATGTTGTGATTGGTGTCGTGTTACTGTGAGACTTTGATGCAATAGGAATCAGCAGTTGTGCTGTTGTATTACGGTCTTTTTTTTCACGAGGTAAACGGTCAATGCTCATAATAATGCAAAATATCTTGTGTGTGCAGGTCCAGTATGGAATATTCCCAGATGACTTCACGTTTAACCTGCTCATAGATTCTTACATTAAGGACGGAGACTTTAAAAGTAAGGCTTTTTTTTAAAACATGTTTCTGAAAAATCATCTGGAAAAACAGGGCCAGGCAGACTATAATAAAATACAATCTCTGCAGACACATTCCTGTTGTCTTTGGATATTTCCAGGAGTGGAAACAGACTGTCTATCAAACCACTAACATCGGATTACAAACATTTCTTTCCTTGTTTGTAAAAGACAGTGGTGAAGGGGAAGCCTGGTTATGTTTTCTGTAATAACAGTAGATGATAAACAATACTTCATATTTGGCACAAAGTGATAGCGCATAGATGGTATTCCAGTGTTTTCAGTTGCATGGTAAATTTATACTGTATAACTTCAGTATTGCTAATCAAATCTAATGTTGTTTTACATTAGATTATTAATCTAGCAATATTATATTTTGTATTGTCAGGAAATCCCATAAATAGACTAAAACCTTCAATATATTGAACCTGTTGACCCATTCTGCCTGAGAAACTAAAATCTGATAGATTTTATTCCTCTCAACTTAATTTTTGTCCCAAAACTATTAAAAGATGGTGAGTTGGTTCCCATCCACCTATTTGGAACCTCATTTTCATTTCTGTGCATAGAAAAACCTGAAATGAAACTTCAATACTAATGGCAGATCTGTGTGGACCCATAAGGAGACTATAAAGTTCTTAAAATGAATCATTGAGAAACCATTATAAATGCCATGCTACGATCACATGTTCCCTTATTGTTGCCCAACCAGAAGTTCAATTAGATGAATATTCACATAACTTTTGTGATTTAAATAAATGTGCATTCATTAAAATAAATTCTTTAGATTTTTAATATTTTAACTAAATGTTGTCTTTTCAAAACATTGTTTGACAATAAGAAAATATATTTTCACCAGACTTATCCTTTTAACTTGAAAAACAGGGTGAACAGAAATAGCAAAGAGTTAAGAAAACATGCTTTTGATGTAAAGACCGAATGTAATGAAAGGACTTGCTCTGCTGACTTATACGATTAGAAGGAAGAAATCTTTGTAATATCGACAATTGTTTTGAATTGTTTTCATTGTTATTTTCCTCATAACAAGATTTAATAAGAGGGTGTAGAAAGGACTATGTATTTGTGGTAATTACAGGTGCGTGCTCTGTGGTTGAAGAGGTGATGCTACAGGAGGCCTTCGACCTTTCCTCCACTCAGATCCTGTCTCTGTATGCCCTGGCCAGTTACCTAGCAACCAGACCACAACTCACTGTGAGTGAAACGACGGCAACATGCAAAAACATGATCCCAAAATAATGTTATGTTTGTAAATACAGTACTCTACATTCATTTTGGCGCCACACTAAAGGCAACGATTTTAATTGCAATGCATTGTAATGGAAAAAAGCTCTTTTATTAGCATAAATGTTAAAGCATCACAAATCTGCTCCCCATTACTATCGCTTACCCTTGTTCCTCGCTGTGTGCAGGTGTCAGAGGAGAGGATGTTGGGAGCGTCGCTGCTCCTCTGTGGGAGGAAGCAGGAAAACTCTGTTGGCCTCAGCGCTCAGCTGCTGGGCAACGCTCTGCTGGGTGTGTATTTGGGTTTCTTCACCCACTCTGTTGTATTTCATGTGATTCACTCAGTGTTCTTTCTTTATGCAGTTTGTCTCATTTGTTCTTCTCCTTCTTTCCAATCCAGGTAAGGTGGAGATGTCAAAGGGCATTCATGCCTTGTTCAAAGGGATGCCTCTCTCCTGGGAGCGAGGGTATCTGAGCCGGGCGCTGGCTGTCATGGAGGGAGTGGCTGCTGCTTCTGGGGACGTCAAGCTGTCCAAAGACTCAGTAAGGATCGAGAAAATGTGTAAATGTTTTTAGAAGAATACGTTGGTTAGGTGCATCCTCAATTATATCCTATCTCATAACAAATGAAAACGGGAAACAAAAGCCTTGGAAGAGGCAGGTTTTTCTCTTTTCTAACCGAACAGTTTGCTCCTTATTCAAGTCTGCGGTGTCAATCTTCTCCACTGACTGTGGGTTTGATGTCAAATTCAACTTTAAGACTGTTCTGGAGAAAAAACTTGTTTTAAAATATGATTCAGTGTTGTCACAGAACACATCATCACAAACGGGCTCAGTAGAGACTGTTGTTACTCTCCAGGTGGGGTGTGTGACACAGACAGTCTCTATCTGCTGAGATAAAACACACATGCGGTCATTTTGTTGTTATTGTTACATATTTGCAACAACACACACTGGGGTGTAGCTGGCCTGTGCTGTCCAGTTCAATACTCCAGATTTGTCCATGTGTAATGAGATTGTGGCTGGCCTGCAGCACAGAGGATGTCTGTGAGAATCACTGCGACAGGAACTAAACAGCTTGTGTCAGACGGCAGCACAGCAATAATGTAGACAGAGCAGATAACGCTGCAGGACAGAGGAAATATTACATCTCAAATGAAAATGCTGGTGACTGCCGCCTCAGGTGACAGTCAATCTTACTTCTAAGAGGTGAGGTCTTTGCGTGTCTGTCCTTGAAATGAATCTTAGAAAATATGTTCCTTTCATTAAAAAATGTTTAAATATAAATCAGATAACGTACACGCAGTAACACCTCTTTCAGCAGTTCTACTCTTTATTGATTTTGTACACGTAATCATTTAAAACTATATTTTTTCTGCATACTCAATGTTAGTTTTTTTACTTATTTTCAGCTGGACTACATGAACGACCTGCTGCAGGAACCGTCTTCTTCCTCAGAAAGCGAGTCCTTTGGAGAGGAGTCAGCAGGAGAGGAGGTAAAGAAAGAAAACCCCGTCGATGAAGAAGATGAGGCGGAGAAGGCTAAGCTCCCTCAATATGTCAGCAGATTCAAGGTGGGTGTTTGTTGTGTACAGCGGGTGTACTTTTGTTTGGAGCAACTGAATTAACCTCAGCTATCGTTGTTGGGGCGAGTCAGTAAACACAGACAAACAAACACAGAGGCTTTTTTGATCAAATTCACCAAGAACACCAGTCCATTACAGATTCACTTCTTACTTATAACATAGCCCAATATAAATTCACTCAACATTTTTGCTGAATCCAGCTTTGTATGTCTATTTGAGGACTGAGATGGATTTGTTGGTTTTTTTCTGGTCAATGACTGAAATATTTTATTTCAGAAGATGCCCTTGTGTTATTACCACACTACAAGCTCTATTATTAAACTACTATTTAGTTTTACTTCCAAAAATATATCTGATGCCCCTTTCACACCGGCGCTTTTTCCTGTTCACACCGCAGCGGCGGCGCGTCATAGCTCCGGAATGCGGTTCACTTCCAGCTCCAAAAAATTGTCAGTCCAGAGGCAAGAGCTTCGGAGCTATGACGCGGCGTCTCTTACGTCGAGGCGTGCAGGAAACCTTACTTTGACCATCCATTCGCTGTTATTGATCATTGTGGAGATACATGGGCTGCACAGGTTGTCATGTCCGACTATCACAAGTAGAATCATAATGAAAAATACGCCGGTAAAATGTGCCTGTAGAAAACGGCTTAGCAAGTAGTCAGTTTAGCTTCGGTTGCTATGCTAACATCACCCATGTTATACCAGAGAAACTTTCATAACAGCGTTGTGATGCCAAATAGCGTCAATTCAGACTGACACACATTCACTTAAGGGGAACTGGGGATATGTATCAGCTGCTTGTGTGACAGTCAGACAGTGAATACTTTAGAGCCGTGTGAGCTAACCCGGAGCTAACGGGAGAATAAACTCCTGTGGAAGTGCAGCCAGCACTGCAGCGGTCGGTAAATGCCGCTGAAACACATTAATAAACAATGAACCACGGCACTCTGGAGAAAAGTATAAGGTTGGAGAAGTCGTTATTTAATTTAATCTGGCTTCGTATGATTAAAAGCAACACGATCATCGACCCGACGCAGTCCCCGGCCCGTTGTTGTTGTGGGAGAAAATCAGCGACGTAAACTGTGACGTCATGACGCAGCAGCGGCAGCTCTGGGCAGTGTGAACAGAGCGGGAGCTGAAAAGGGAAACCGGAGCTGAACCAGAAAAGCTCTCGCTAGGAGCTAGAAAGGGAAAAGCGCTGGTGTGAAAGCCGCATAATTTGTCCTTCAGTGCATTTATTGGGCATGTCCTGACCAAATGTGTTGAATACATTTTCCTCCTCCTAAAGGATTTTTGTCAATGTTAAGAAGCTTGCACATTTCTCCTTTCCTGCCTTTGTTGGCACATTGATGTGTGTAAGGATCTGTCACCACCACCTGTTGTCCAGTGGCACAGTGTGAAAACATTGGCTGAAAAAAACAAATCTGATACCAGCCAATAAGTGCGGTCCGTTACTGGTACGCCATAACTACACTTGTGTTAAACATACTCCAAAAAAACATTTACAGAAACCCAGGTCTTCATCATGTGCTGAACTAAGTGGTTTGGTTCACTGCGTTTCAGGTTTGTGTTTAATCATTGGCTTGATTGGCCCTTTAATATAACAGAGCCAGCCAATAATTACATGTTGACTCAAAATTCCTTATCAGAACATCCAGACCTTGATGTTTTTCTCATACTATGACTCCAGCTAATCTGTCTCTTTTTGGTACGTATCAAATAACCTGGTTTTGAGGTCACTGTTGGGTTCTTTAACATAGTTTTTGTTTGCCTGCCTCTTCAGGAGCTGTGTAGCCAGTTGGAGTCTGAGGGCAAAGTGGACTCTGCCTCGTTTCTCGCTGCAGGGACCGCTCTGGCCCAGCAGAACATGGCTGCTGCGGAGAAACCCGACCTGGAGCTGTACGAGAGCAACTTGCCGGCCTGGGAGGCAGAGAGGAAGCAGCTGATCCAGAGAGAGAAGGAGCTGAGGGCGCAGGCTGAGCAGGAGAAACGGGAGAAGTTAGCAGCCCGGGCCGCAGCCGAGCAGCAGGGGATGAGAGCCGAACAATGACACCTGACATTTTCATTGAGTTTACCCGTGGAAATTGTGAAATATCAACATCCACAACATTACCATTGTGTCACTATTCAGTTTTGTAAATAACAATTATTGTGTGCTTATGTGAGTAAGTATTGCTCTGTTTTTATAAAACGAAATAGGGCAAATTAAAATAATGTATCAAACATTGGGTCTCATTTGTTGTTTTTCTCGGATGATATCATTATTTTAACATATGCACACATCAATAACTGTCAAGCCTGATGGTCGAGTGACCTCATGTAAGCAAAAGAAGGGAAAGTTTGTGCCACCACATCCTCCCACTACTTTTTCTGTGTGTTTGTGTGCGTGCGAGTCAAAAGCAGGAGATGCTTTTGACTCTCACGCACACACAATGTATGTTTTCTCGCAGGGGACTGAAAGGGGTATTGCACAGAAGAATTTGCTTATAGCCAATCTAGAAAGAACCACATTCTTTGCTTGGAAAGAAATGCATTAGAGGCATTTTGTGCATAAAGAAAAACATAAATAATACAGTAAAAATCCTTATATATTAAGTCAGACATACATTTCAAATCTGTGTTTGTTAAAGAATTAAAAAGATCAACATGAGAGTGCAGCATCAGCTAATACTTTGACACGTGAACTGGAAAACAGATAATCATGAGTTTAAACGCCACTGCAAGATAATATGATAGATCTTTGGAGAAGAAAATGTTGTTGAGGTTGTGCACATAACACAATCATTCCACATTATGCTGAAGCTATTGAGTATTCAGGACACGGTCTCCCCAGAACGCACAGATCCTGGAATGAAGGCTCGTACTGATGGCTTCTCTGAGAGCTGCTTTTCACTCACGGTCAATTATCATACAGTATATGAGCATTAGGAGGGTTATTTAGCATAATAGAGGAAATATCATTAGTCTATTATATTTACTTCCATTAAAATATACCTTTGGTGAAACAATTCAGATTTTGGTTTGAGTTTTTAATTGACCTTTGAAACAATATGAATACGTTGTTGCATCTGAGCTGCTTAGTAAGAATGTAAAATGGTTTTAATTGCATTTCAGAACACATACGGTAATCACAAATCACTAATACATGGCTGTATGAATAGCATTACTACCAGCTCTGATTCATATTTCTCAAAGCATGTAATGTCATCCATACACTCACAAAAGGTTAGCAGTTAAGTTGAACATATATAATTTAGCCTCCTAATGCTGTAACATTTTGAAGTGATACTACAGCTTGTTATGCTACAGTCACTTCCTATCTACACTGTTTACTGCTGTCGATTGAAGCTGCTATAGACGTATCCTAGCAATGAATTTACACATTACTAAAGTCCCCACTTTTATACTGCAACCCAATCAAATATGCCACTGGCACAGGTTGGAGAAGTACTCAGATCTTGTACTTACTGTAAGTGCTCAGAGTGTAGGAATACTCTGTTACAAGTGAAAGTCCTGCATTCAAAATGTAACTCAAGTAAAAGTACAAAAGTATTAGCATCAAAATATACTTAAAGTACCAACAGTGAAATACAAACATTTCAGAATAATATATATGGTATGTTTTGATTATAATTATTGATGCATTAAAGTGTTATCTAAGCTGGTAAAGGTGCAGCTAGTTGAATGACTGCGTTACTATAGATACTGCCCCAGTTCCTAAACTGTAATGGGAATGCGCCATAAAGTGAGCCAGTCCTAACGAGGCCCAGCCATACCGAGCGGGGCCGAGCGAGGCCGTGTAGTGGAAACGTGCCATTTGTATACCGGGTAGCTTGTGAATTTACTCCAGGTGGAACTGAAATGTAGTGGAGTAAAAGTACAAAGTAGCATAACATGGAAATCCTCAGGTAAAATACAAATATCTCAACATTGTACTTAAGTACAGTACTTGAGTAAATCTACTTGGTTACTTCCCACTTCTGGTCACTGGTTTGAAACGAACTAATAGTTGCATGATTTTAAAAAGGGCTTAACACACAAACTGAGTCATCAATAAAGTGATGAAAGAAGCAATCTAAAGTGTATCCATGCATCTTGTACCAGCTGGACTCTGCAAACCTTTGTTCTGTAATGCTTATCTCTTATAACACTTAACCGTGTCAAATCTGAAAAGAATGAATTAGCTCTAATCTGCAGTATAAATGGGTCATTCATCATCATTTATCTGCTTGTAGTCCTCAAACTCAACTTAAAATCACTGGTTTGAAAGTAACTCAATTGTTTACATTTCTTGCTGAAATTGAACCTGGGTGTTTGAGCAAGTGTGAGGAAGGTGGGCTAACACTACGGATGAACCAAATCAGTTGAGGCGTGATGAGGGGATAAAAGTCAGGAAGTTTGACATCCACATCACCGGTTATGCGATGCCGAGAGCCTCTTAAGTGTTTTAAAAGAGCTGCGTGTGTTTTCGTGCAGGGACAGGAGGAACTGTGTCATGGGTTATTGGACATGTGTAAATATGACAGAAATTGGAAGAGAAAGGGGAATGCATCTGAGGTGGAGCATGAATGCAAAACACCTGCTTCTCTAAAAAGAACATTTGTCTCACCGGGAAATCTTATTTGTAGAAAAAAGACAATTCAGCACATCCTTATTTAATATTTGAGGTTAAGAATGTACTATCAAATGTGAACAATACTAAATAATGCTCAATTAGCAAATGCTTAAGTTATTTTAGCAGATGTGTTATCTTAACATGGCTGTACTTATCCTTAACATGCAGACACAAACTATTTATCTTTTTTTTCATCTTTTAACTAACTTTAATAATGAGTTCCTATTGTTGATTTGTATGTTTCATATCTGAGCGTCTGTAAAGCAGATAACACGATAAGATTCTGGATCCAGAGACACATGTTTATTAATATTTCATTATTCATTAAGGTCAACTGCATCATATTTAACATTTTAAAGAGATTAGTGAAGTCACATTTGTCCTTCTGTTTGTTTTGAGGGTATGCATGGCTTTCATGTGTCCTCCTGGTGTATTGCTCACGTATGAAACAGTAATAAATTAGGCAGATGTGCAGCGGTAATTAGAAATTGGATTTATTTGCTGTCTGATTCATTTCCCTCTTTTTGTCATCATTAGCTGAGATATAATAACCTTTTAAAGCTATTCAAGTGTCCACATCAATGCTGCAGATGCAGACCCAGTGTTTCAAATTGATGCATATGTAGGCTATATTAATTTTGGATTTTTGTTATAACATAATTTAAATAATGGGGATATTAGGAACATATCACAATTATTTGTTTCTCATAAAAAATAAATAAAATAAAATCTCACTAGGCATGTGTTTAGAAGAACAATCTATGTATGACTTTTCCTCACTCCGAGCTCTGTATCCAAGTCCCACTGTCCTAATAGTACATGTGTTCAAATATGAATATTGAAAGTCTTAAAATGAGCATACACTTAAACAATCAAAATCAATTACAGAAAAGTCTAATAGAAAAAATTATCCTTATAAAGCACAGAAATATTATGTTTCCTGAAAATGTAATCAATTATCTGCTGTACTTCCATAAAAGGTGCTGGTGCCACCTATTTAAAAAAAACAATCTATGTGATAATTGTTTTACACAATGTGCACTTAGAATGCAAACTGTGCTGTTGAGACTCCTGAACATTAGTTGATTTTTCATCACAAATTAAATTCCCAAAGACTTTTCTCAAATAATTAAAGGCTCCCCTGCTGTACTGTATGGCAGATGACTCTTGTCCAAACATGGCCCTCACCATTCGAATATTTTATGTTTTGATACGGATTTCCAGTATCTCCCAACCTCTGACCACACTTTGCCAATTCATTTTATTAACAAAACTTTATGAAAGAGTATTGACCCCTTGAGGTTATGTTGCTAAAACACATGTCTGAAGGATGATGTAACGGTCAGGCAAGACGAATCACAGCTGTTCTCGAAGCTGTAGCTCCGGTCATGACACCGACAGTATCACGAACGATGCAAACCTTTTTTTTTCTTCATATAACTCAATCCTATAAGAAAATACACCGACCTAAAACAAATAGTCCTCAGTTTCCCTCACATTGAAAGATATGAGCATGTGGAGATTGCTGATGAAATACTGCCAGCAGGAGTTTTACTGATAAAAGACTGTGCAACAAGATAAAAGCTAAAACAAGGCGATATGCATCAAGAAAACAATGTATTACATGTGAATTAAAAGGAAAATGTTATCAAAGAGAAGTTGCATAATCTGCGGTTTTATGAATAATCTGTTTAATCTGTTCAGCGCACTTTTTTCTCATGATCACATGAATCATGAGCCAAGAACAATGAAACACGAATCCCCCATGCCACAGCTAAGAAGGAGGACTTTTAGCACCACGCTGAAGTTAGTTTTAGGTTGGAAATTCGACAGACATTCACTCTGGTCCTCTTCAGTGGTGGAAAATGTATTCAGGTTATTTACTTGAGTAAAAGTAGGCTACTTAATTTTACCACACTGTAAAAATAACTCCGTTACAAGTAAAAGTACTGACTTAGCATCGAGAATGGTACTTAAGTATTCAGAGTAAAGTACTCATTGCAGAAAAAACTCAATTCAAAAACTCAATTCAAAAGTATTTTAAAGCAAAAGCGTGTGAACAAATGTTGAACAATAAAACATCTTAATCCCTTAATACATTTTTCTGTGAACCCACTCACGATTTAAGGTTAATAAAATGCAATGTTGGATGGTTTAATCGTCACCAAATAATCATATTTTAAAAGTGTGTGTGTGAAAATCTGAATTTATAAAGTTACCATTCATCTGTAAAATAAATGCAATGCAGTAAAAAGCACAACATTTGCTTCCAAAATGTAGTGGATTAGAAGTTGAAAGTAGTATAAAATAAAATACTCTGGTTGAATACAAGTACCTCAAATGTGTACTTAAGGACAGTACTTGAGTACATGTACTTAGTTACTTTTTCTTCAGGTTCACAGACTGTCAGCAGGCGGAGGACGTTCACTTCCAGTCCTCGCTCTTAACCACAAGTGTCACTTAGGGACCATCAATACAATATTGTTTAGGTGACACAAAACTGTGGTATTTTCAATAACCTTGTGCTGAGTTGCTCATATTAGTGCAATTTATGATAGAAACAATTATAATAAAAGTAACTTACATGGCACACCTTTTCTGATT